ATTCCCTTATTTGAAAATTGGGTTTTGTTTATAAATCTACAAGTTCCTATTCATTTAGAACAGGACTTGAATTGCCTGGAAACCCACAGAGCAGAATGGCATTTTAGAGTATGATTCCCATTTTCTCTTCAGTACAGATTACAATACCATCATTTGTTTTTATAGTACACACTTTTGGGATTACTCATCTCATCTGGTAATGGGACCTGAGTTCGGGTGCAAACCTATTTCCTAAGCTGTGTGAGGTTGAGCAAGTGACTTAAGCTCAGAAGTGAAATGAGGGAGCTGTTGCCTAAAATTTCATGACTCTCTGGTTTAAGTATAATCACCTTGAATGTTTGATGATCTCTTTGAAGGTCAAAAAAATAATGCTAGTGGCCATAATAAAATAAATGCCAACTACTGAGCCCTGAGTAATATTTTTAAAGTAATATAAGACAGGAAGAGAGGGTCAGGTGGTCTCTTCCTTTATATGAATTTTATATGGGATGTGTTTGCCTGAGGTAGCATATGCCCAGTGTTAGCAGTCTGCAAATACTACCAGGATTAGAGGAGGCGGAGATAAGGAAATGAAATTTTTTTAGTTTGGAACAAAAAAGCAAAACAGAAATGTGTTTTTAATTTTATTGCAAATAACTTGCAGGACTGAAAATGATTAAACTGTCACACGTTTCAACATTAATAAACACTATGCAAAAGGATCAGTTACAACATAGTAATTTACTAAGATTTAAAAGAATATATTATTTTTAAGAGCTCATTTTAATGGCTGTAGATTTGTAAACTATTTTGCTCATTTTCTCTTTTGTGCTTTTATTTTTCAGTTTGTCTTTTGTTCTGAGCTTTCAGAGGTTTATGCAGGAAATGTATGTTATGACCTTTGAGATGTGTTAAAATTGAAAGAAAATTTAACTCCAGTAAGAAAAATTGTACTAAAATTCAGAGAACTCCATACTAGATGCAGATTAGATATAATGTATAGAGATTATTTTTTGTGATTTTAAAAATTCAAATTCTTAAGATATGGATATTTTTATTGTAACAGAGAAATAAAAGCAATATATTTGCAATGGAATTTAAATTGTATATATATATTCACATATGCCTGTTTGTAATAAATATATGCTATATATTATACCTATCACACACCTATATATGTTGGAATCCTTGTCTATTCTATATAGAGAAAATACTATATTAAAAATATCTAGCATTCAGTTAACTCCGAAAAAAATCACATTGTTTCTTGGCTTTTTGTTACTTCCTGTTGGCCTAGAGGCAATGATTCATGATAATGTAATGTGAAACATATGGTTTCCAGTATCACATGGCAAATTTGAATGGATATATAAGAAATCTGAACCACTATTCTTAGTTTGAAAATGTAACACTTAACAGAAGTTTATTTATTAGAGAATTTGGTGTCAGTAAAAAGTAAACACTTTGATTTCAATAATAGTAAGTCTCCAAAAGAACTTAGTGAGGAAAAGTGACTGAATTTTACTTCTTAATATTTTATAACTTATATGTGAAAACAAACAACATTCACTTTTTGAAAATTTGGTTTTGTTTATAAATCTACAAATTCCTATTCATTTAGAACAGGACTTGAATTGCCTGGAACCCTATGGAACTGAATGGTAGTTTAGAGTGTGATTTCCATTTTCACACTCTTTAAACTTTTTAAAGATTTAAACATTTTCACACTTTTCAAACTTTTTAATTAGTTTGATGTCTCTTTCTGGAAATAGATCACTTTCATTATATGTGCTGAAATGTTTTCTGAGTGGTAGGCTTGTTGACACAGGTACTTATTTTAAAGTTGGAAAAGCAAAGTTCCCAGTGATTAACTCCAGAGGGGAGAAGAGGAAACAGAAATACAAACACAAAAGAACAAATATTTTTGGGTTAGCAACTCTGTAATGAGAGTGGTAGAATCGGGTAAACAAACATTTTAATAAAGGATGTCTCAACAAAATTTAATCTAGTAATTTAATGATAATTCATGGAAATTAATGGATTCAAGAGTGAAGAAATTTCTACAATTATAGCATGAAAGAATGAATAGAATTTTGTTAGAGGAGCTGCTGTTGTTTTTGAAATGAAGAGTTCAGAATCAAGCTGTAAATTAGGACAATAACAATTGCCTGGTAAACAGAATCCAATATATGTAAATTACCCTTGCTATAGGTAGAAAGTGTGTTTGATTTGATTTCCACAAGCCATCTCAAGAACCTCTACCAATAAAGTGAGTTACATCTTTGGGCTCAGCTTTCATTACCTGAATAACATTCCTGGGCCAGGAAATAATTTTCACCTGGGGCTGGAACCATTTGCATTAGAAATTAATCTATTTCTGAATGTTACATTGATTTTATGTGATCTTTATCTTCCATTAAACTTTGTTTTTCTTTTCAATAAGTTGAGGTTGCCAGAAGAATGTGATATTGGGGCTTATGCAATTGGAAATCTGAACTTTGGACCCAGGACTTTGCCAGGAGCCAGGCAAGTGGGCGATCTGAGGGCAGGAACAGGGGTGGGGTGGGGGACTGGGGTTGGGAGGCTGGCTCTGCAATAGAGAGGAATTAAGCATTCACTGACTTAAAAAAAATCAAACACACATAAAGTACAATTCTGTAGTTCTGAATTTCAACTTAGCCAAGGTTCAGAAATGTAAATGATAAACCAAGAGGGGCCAAGATTAGTGATTCTCCACCCCAAAGGGTTACAGGGCTTTGAGGTTTCTAAATAGATTTGCTTCAAGAGGTATTCTAGAGATTCTTTTTCTTTTGCTTGACTCATTTCCTTTTTGATAAGATTCTATTTCCATTTTCTTCCTCTTCACTCTGTTACTTAACGTAGCCCCAAAATATGGGGTAGCCCACCCGAACCACTGCTTTCAGCGAATATATTCATCATGAGATAATTGAAGATTCGGGGGCATATGTGCTACATCTGTTACTGTTAATTCTTTGCTTCCTACCCCACTTCTGGTACAATAAGCTTCCATATCTGGCACCAGATTTTCTTGCTACCATTCTGACACTGAAACATCAACCTGCCACGTTCTCTTTGAACCAACCTTCAGCCACAGTGCACTCTTTTTATTTTTCATTGTTGTTCCCGTACAGTCGTCTCACAATGCAGTCTTAAAACAATACATGCTATATTTACTTTTTGTTCTTGACCTTTGGTTTAGTAATGAGGAGTCTTGGAAGAAAATGAACCTCTTTTTACTCTATCAAGCATGATGCAATAGACTGAATGTTTGTGTCCTCCCAAATCCGTATGTTGAAACCTCATTCCCAGTATGCTAGTCTTTACAGGTGGGGCCTTTGGAAGGTGGTTAGGTCATGGGGGTGGAACTGTCATGACTACCTCATTATGGAGCCCTTATAAAAGAGCTCCCAGAGAGCTCTCTTGCCCCTTTGTCCATGTGAAGACACGGCATGAAGACTGCCATCTACGAACCAGGCAGTGGGCTCTCATCAGACATTTAATGTATTGGTACCTTGATCTTGGACTTCCTGACTTCCAGAATTGTGAAGAATAAGTTTCTGTTGTTTATAATCTTCCTAGTCTATGGTATTCTGTTGCAGCAGCCCAAGTGGACTAAGAGATATGGTGACTTTGTCTGGGTGTCTCTAGGGTGTAGTGAATCAGGACTGTTCTTATTACTTTCTTTTCCTCACTACCCATCCATTTCCTCACCTGGCAGAGAGGGATCTTTGCTGCGTGCAAGTCACATATAAATGGGGAGCTGCACCAGCTGATTCCAGATCTCAGGCTTTTATACCCTAAAGCTAGGATTTGGCTCCTCACAATCCCCCCTCTTCTGAAGTTCTATGTGATTCCATCTATATTAAAATGCTGATTAGAAGTTATAATACAGGGTGAATTGACTGTGAACCTTGATGGATTTTGAATCTTTTCCAAATAGTCAGCCAGGCCTCACTGGCCACCTTCATTTTTTTTTTCACTTTTCAAATGAAGAAAATGAAGTAGGTAATTAAGGATAAATTCCTTATGTGGGCCAATCCGGGAAGCCTGGCCTCATACTGCCAGTATGAGACCAGGAATCTCTCCACCAGGAAATTCGACAGCAATGCCTCTCTGCCCAGTTATCTCTTCGATGCCCATCCCCACAATTTTTATTTGCATTAATATCTACTGTCTTTCACCTTCATTTCAGATGAGGAGATTAAAACCCTAGTAAACTTTAAATAACTCAAGAGCAGGACTCACAAAGCAAATTAGAGTTCAATCTTTATCTGCTCACACATTTTTTTTCTAATAGTTTTCACCTGCTGCCTTCATGTTACAAAGCTGGTTAACACAGAAAAAATGAGGATTGTGGCAGATTCTGGTCTCTTTAGTGCCATATATGTTCTTCATATTAATGCTTTTAATCATCTGATTGCTGTCAAATCGATTTAAGTTCTGGTGAGCTCAGCAAATCCTGAAAAGCCTATATCGAGCACTACTGCATGCAATGCAGTGTATTAGGTTCTCCTTGGCGAAAATGAGAGAAGAAGTTATAGCCCCTGACATGCAGTATCTTATAATCTAGTCAGGAAACCAAATGTACAGAAAATGATCTTTAAAAAACTGTATATGACAACATATTCCCTTTTTCTGAACAGCAAGATGAAACTGTTTTCTTTTCTGAAGGTCTTACCTTTTCCACAGCATTTCTATTACATTCAGAAACTCTCTTAATATGACCCCTCAAAATAAGCTCTATTTTGTTCTCAAAGTAGAGTCAGACAAGAATCTATTTCTCCCACATTCCTTGGCATATGTGTGCAGTCCATTTAGCAACTTCTTTGTGTTCCTCTTACATGTCACAATCTTTCTGGAGGAAGAAATTACGTTTTCACTGGTAGACATTCTGGGCCATCTTGAGTTGGCTGGATTCCGAGGGCTAGTCTCACAGTTGGGACTCAAACACGCCCTTTCTCTGGCTGCTTCGCTGTGAGGCAGGTGGAGGTTCTTTTCTCCTCCCTTGGCTGCTTCCTCCTGTTCCTCCTGGTGGGTCGGGCCTGCCCAGAATGAGGACATTCCATGGGACAGCTGTGCAGAGCATGGTCAGCTGCTGAAGTTGGGACTCTGCCTTTTGGAAAGTTGTTCTTTTCAGAGGCCAGAGAAGCAAGAGGAGTCAGTGGGCAGGAGACCTGGCCCACTCTCCCTCCTCCCATGCTTGGGCCACTTTTGACTCTTCCCTTTCTGGTGAGTGAAAAGAGATAGCCCTATTGGCTGCTTCAGTCTGGGGCTTCCTTCGTGTGTGGGCCGATGTGCAGCAGCAGCCAAGATGGTGCTGAACTTGGTAGGGGACACTCACTCAATTTTGCTGCTGCTTCTCTCCGGCTGGTGTGTCTTTCCTCTTTAAAGTATATGTTAGCCCTGGCTGGTGTAGGTCAGTGGATTGGGAGCATGGATTGGGCTGTGAACCAAAGGGTCACAGGTTCGGTTCTCAGTCAGGGTACATGCCTGGGTTGCGGGCCAGGTCCCCAGTGGGAGCCACGTGGGAGGCAACAGCACAATCATGTTTCTTTCCCTCTCCTTCTCCCTCCCTTCCCCTCTCTCTAAAAATAAATTTTAAAATCTTTTAAAAAATGAAGTATATGTTAAAAGAGAAGAAAACTAAAAGAAAGAGGGAGTGAGAGATGGAAAGAAAAAAAGATAAGAGATAGAGATAGGGAAGGGAGAAGGGAAAGAAGAATTAAAAAATTAATTTTTGTTTTTAAATTGAATTGACATCTTATTATGTCTCTTTCTCCCCCAAAACCTGATGTGCCCTCTCTGATTCAGCAGGTCAAGGGTGGGGCCTGGGATTCTGCATTTCTAAGCTCCTAGGTGAAGTTAATGCTGTTGGTCTTCAGGCCATACTCTGAGTAATCAGATACTGTACCCATTTCTTAATCATTCTTCTTATAACAATATCTGACACTCATATAACATATATGCCTGACACTATTTAAAGTGCTTTGCATGTATCAACTTATTTAGCCCTCACAATGCCCTATGTGATGGGTACTACTATTAGCCCATTTCACAGTTGGGGAAACCAAGACAAGGGTAATTAGTTCACCAAATAGCACATAGTAAGTGGAAGAGCCAGGATTCAAACTCAGTCTGGCTCTAGAGTCTGTGTATTCAGTCCCATTCCTATTCCAGCAATTTACAAACTTATTATCCTCTTCTGGACATACTTTAACTTTTCAATATTTCCCCCTTAAAGTGGGAACCCAGCTTGAAAATAATGTTCCGGGCATGTGACTGACCAGCCTGTGAGGATCGCTGTGCTATTAATTCACCATTGTTTGAGCCACACTGTCAACTTGTGCCTTCTATAAATTTGATAACTACAGCCAGTTCTCAAGATTAGCTGTAGGATCCCAAGACAGCTGTGGTTTGGGCTTTTTTTTTTTTTTTTTTTTTTTTGACAAGTAGAGGCAGCAAAGGGCAGCTGAGGTTAACAGTTCTAGCTGATCACTGAGGCAGCAAGGGAAACAGCTCCAAGATAAACACAGTGTTCATTGTGTAGTGTGAGGGGAGAGATCAGGCTGGGGGAGCCGAGCCAGGCGGGGGTGAGGAGTGAAACAGGATGCTGTGTGCTTGAGAAGGTTGGTGGCTGATTAGGGCAGAAAAGAAAGTGGAGAGGCTGAAGCAAGCTGGAGTCTTATAAAAGAGTGAAGTCTGGATCAAGGAAGCCAGAGATTCATTCACTCATTCATTCATTCATTCATTCATTCAATAAATGTTAATTGCCAGCCCACTAAGTTCCAGGCAGCATGCTACATGCTGGTGATACAGCGATCAATAACACAGACCTGGCCCCTGCCCTCAGGCAAATTCTGATTCTTCTGGGGAGACTGACAAGACTAAACCAAACCAAACAAGGCATCAGACAAATAAATTGGGGCGGCCTGTAATGACTATTGTGAAGGAAATGAGAGTCTGAGACAGTGAAAGCAACGGGCACTCTACTTTAGGTTGGGTGGTCAAGGAAGACTTTCAGCTGAGACCTAAAATCCGAGAAGTTAGGCATATGGGGACGACGTTCTAGGCAAGAACCAGCTGTGCCAAAGCCCAAGAGTGGGAGAGAATTTGTCATGGAAGGAGAGTGTGGCAGGATCTTGGGAATCCAGCCATCCACTGGGAATAGGTTCAAATTGACATAAAGATTAAAGTGAATAACTGATATGAAACAACACTCAGTTGGCTTTGACAGGTCATTCATTTCTCATCTGGAATATTATGTTGAATTCTTTTTCTTAAAAGTATATTTTATTGATTATGCTATTACAGTTGTCCCATTTTTTTCTCACCTTTATTCCCCTCCATCCTGCAACCCCACTCCCGCCAGGATTCCCCCACCTTAGATCATGTCCTTGGGTCATACATATGAGTTGTTTGGCTTCTCTGTTTCCTATACTATTCTCAACCTCCCCTGTCTATTTTGCACCTACCATTTATGCTTTTTATACCCTGTAACTTTTCCTCCATTGGTATCCCTCCCCCTCCCCACTGATAACCCTCCATACGATCTCCATTTCTGTGGTTCTGTTCCTTTTCTAGTTGTTTGCTTAGTCTGTTTTTTTTTTCAGTTGTTGATAGTTGTGAGTTTGTTGTCATTTTACTGTTCATAATTGTGATCTTCTTTTTCTTAGATATGTCCCTTTAACATTTCATATAATAAGGGCTTGGTAATGTTGAACTCCTTTAACTTGACCTTATCTGGGAAGCACTTTATCTGCCCTTCCATTCTAAATGATAGCTTTGCTGGATGGAGTAATCTTGGATGTAGGTACTTGCCTTTTGTGACTTTGAATACTTCTTGCCAGCCCCTTCTTGCCTGCAAGGTTTCTTTTGAGAAATCAGCTGATAGTCTTATGGGTACTCCTTCATAGGTAACTGTCTCCTTTTGCTGCCTTTCAGATTCTCTCCTTATCTTTGATTTTGAGTAATTTAATTATGATGTGCCTTGGTGTGTTCTTCCTTGGGTCCAACTTTTTTGGGACTCTGAGCTTCCTGGACTTCCTCGAATCTATCCTTTGTCAGATTGGGGAAGTTCTCCTTTATTATTTTGTCAAATAAGTTTTCAATTTCTTGCTCTTCCTCTTCTCCTTCTGACACCCCTATGATTTGGATGTAGAACGTTTAAAGTTACAGAGGTTCCTAAGCCTCTTTTCATTTTTTTTTAATTCTTGTTTCTTCATTCTGTCTCAGTTGAATATTTATTTCTTCCTTCTGGTCCAAACTATTGATCTGAGTCCCGGTTTCCTTCCCTTCATTGTTGGTTCCCTGTATATTTTGCTTTATTTCACTTTGTGTAGTCTTCATTTCTTCCTTCATTTTGCAACTGAGTTTAATCATTTCTGTGATCATCCTGATTACCAGTGTTTTGAACTCTGCATCTGATAGGTTGTCTATGTCCTTGTTGCTTAATTCTTTTTCTGGAGTTTTGATCTGTTCTTTCATTTAGGCCATATTTCTTTGTCTTAGACCACCTGTTATGTCATAAGAGGTGGAGCATTAGGTATTCACCAGGGTGGGGCAACCCACTCTGCTGTGTTGTGGTGCTGTATGTTGGGGAGGGGTCCCAGAGGGAACAATGCCACTTGCTTGCCTCTTGCCCCTCTTTCAGCCACTTCCCCCACTATCCACAAGTGAATTGGGACCTTCTCATGCTGACTCCTGAGTAGGTGAGTTTTTGTACATTCTAGGATCCTGTGGATCTCTCCAGTGAACTTGCCTGTGAGAGTGGGAGTTTCTCCTGCCACTGCAGCAACCCCAACAGATTTTTATAGTTAAAGGTTTCGAGGCTTTATTTCCCTGTGCTGGAATCCTAGTTTGCGTGGTCTGTCTCGCTCCCCAGTTGTTCCCCCAGGTTTATCCCCACATGAATGTGGTACTGCCTGGTCCACTAGCCACCACCTTGCCCTCCATCCTCTTCTCCCTGGCTGCCTGTCTCCACCCATCCTGCCAGTCTGGATGAATGTTTCTTCTTTAACTTCTTGGTTGTCAGATTTTCACACAGTTCAATTTTCTAGCTGTCCTGGGTTTTTTTTTGTTTTTAAATTTGTTGTTGCTCCTTCTTCTGGTTGTGCAAGGAAGCAAAATGTATCTACCTTGTCTCCATCTTGCCTCCATCTTGGCCAGAACTGAAATTCTTGACATATCAGTATCATGGCTTACAAGTGATTTTAGCTTCTGAAACTGGAAAATATTTTTAAGAAAGTTCTAATACCTTTTGTTTGACCTCTTTTGGATTTAAAGGTCCATCTCCGAGTTGCAGGGGTCTCACTGAGGTCCTACAGTCTTTACAAAGAAATCTTCATCTAGGTTATCATGGTAAAGGGCAAGGCCAAAAACAGAGCTTGGATCAGTGCTAGTACCCACATGCCAAGATGAAACAGAGCCACCATTGTGGAGAAGTCAAGGCACACTGTCCTTCAAATCTGGCAGCCTTGTTTTGGTGAACCGTCAGTGGTTCCTAATGATCACTCAAAACATTTTTAATGCTCCCCAATAATCTGTTAGATGATTTTTGCAGAGTTTTCTGAAGAGAAAAATGTAGTAGTTCATCAATCTATAGTTTGCAGAGTCTAGCCTTTTCTACCCTTTTGAGAATCGGAACATCAACCTTAGCCAATGCCCTCATCGGTTCTTACCTGGATTGTTACTGTATTGCTGTCTTAGAACTGGTCTCCCCTGACTCTAGTCTCTCCCAGCTCCAATATATGATTCACAGAACTTTCAGAGAGAGCCAGCTAAAATCTACACATCTTATCTCTATCCTTGACTTAAATAGTTCCTCATTACTATTAGTATCAAGGATTCCTCATTACTATTAATAAAATTGAAACCCTTTTTTTGGCATTCAGTACCTTTCATGATTTGATCTTTGCCTAAATTGCCACTCTCATTTCCTGCCACATTCCCTACACTGGACTATAGCCATATCAAGCTCTTTGCTCTTTACCAAAATAACCATGTTCTCATATCACTTCTCTGACTTTTTATGTGGTGTTCCTCTTCTTCCTTCAACGAATTCCTGTACATCCTTTAGAAGTTAGTTTAAACATCACTTCCTTTGGGAAGCCTTCCTTGATTTCTCTAGTCAGCGTTAAGAGTTCTTACCTCACAGGTAATACATTGTATATTGCCTTTATTATAATAGTTACTTTTACTATTATTACTTTTATTATTACATTTTATTTTTA